GTTCACGCGGCGTATTTTGTCAGAATGTTATCTGGAGATAAATTGCTCCTTCACATATTTGCAATAGACGGTGTTTCCACAGTCATGACTCACGTGAACTAATGTCTGGTTTTGACGGACTGGAACAAATATTTATGCGAATCGCATCATGTAGAGCCATGTGAGTACGCTTAGTCAACAACCCTCGTGAGCAGACACAGTCAGTGACGCACGTGGGATTTTTTGTGACCACTACAATATGATATTTGTGAAACTTCCCGACACTATAATGGTTAGGTTAGAAAGAAAATAAAGAACATCGAAAGTACCTGATTAAAATCTACAAGCTAAGTTAGGTTCAACACAGCGTCAACTTTTCTAGGCTTGTGTTCACAGTTGAGTCTGAACCGCTATCTGGCCTGGCATTTCGAAAAATACGTAGTACACATCCAAAAAATCTTTCTTTGCACAGATCACACTTTTATGTCTAAAATTTGAGCCAGATTTTGCAGACATCTTACCTCATGAACGTTTACTAAGTAGTGCACCACATACATGAAGTGCTAACATAAAGAACCGAAAAGCTAGTTGACTTTAAGGGAATAGCTCCGAAAACTTCCACTACTAATTGGCCGATCCGTTTCGAGTACCTGAATCTCAGTTGTCATACTTAGATACCTAGTAACTATTGGTTAATATATTGCTTGTTGCTTACTACAACCGGCAATGTGCTACTCATATGTACGTATTGTCATGAACAACAGCTGTAATAAGTTTTTTCAATGAGCCGCGAGTGGTAGAGACGTAACTATTTTAAGGTGATACCTCCCCGAGGCCGAAAATCTCTTTTGACAGGGGCTTACTTAGCAGGCGTGGCTCCAAGTCACTGATACAAGCGAAACTAGAAGCAAGATCCCGTTCATATCAACATTACGACTCAGTCATTGACTACCGGCACCTCCCGTGGACAGTGTTTGAGTCTTATTGACGTGCCACGTGTTGTCAACGTTGAACTCGCCGAAAAATAATAAACTACAGAAAAGTAAAGACATACGGTCAGCTAATGTGAACGAGAACAAAATGTGGTGTTCTGTTTACTGAACAGGTGTCTCACCAGCTGGTTCACTGATTCATTGCTAGATTTGTGATGAATCACATTTGAACTTCATTGGCTTACTTTTGTGGGGTAAGCAATGTGCTTGTATCTCAGCGAATATAACATAAACACACTACAGTGATATCTATTTCTTGGGCGCTTTGTACCCTAGGCGTTCCAGGTCAGCATGTACGAGACTTCAATGCTAAAATAAATCCAGGTTGAAGCCCAGCTTGTTATCTACGAACTGGCTTGTCGCCGTCAATCACAATGTTTTCAGGTTGCACCAAACTGGTTTCTATTTCTGTCAACTTTTGATATTTTGTCATCCGTACCGTGCTGATAACAGAGAACTAAAAGTAAACTCGTGAATAGTCTAGCTTTTCGTTATCAGTTGACACTAAGAAGGAACTTCCGCTATTCTTATAGAGAGCTCCAAACAACTAGGTGTTAAGCGGTTCACCATCTTAACTCATCTAATGGAGGTAGACATAAGACATGGGTCGTGATGTATCAACATTCTGTCTTAGATTTTATAGCCACCGATGCTACATAGTTGTAACGTAAATGATAGAAGAAAGGTTAGTTCAGGGGATAGAAAAACCCACAACTGTTTCAAAGAGGGTAAGTAGCGAACAACTCTTTGAAAACCATAAGGCTTGAATCAGTGAGGTTTTGGGTATTTAGTTTCGATCATTGTGTACAGTTTTGCTTCGGTTTTGGACCACGACTGCGGAAGAAGACTTGGACAAATGAAACTTGATAATCGATCTAATCTTCTTATGGTGCTAGGACACTTCGAGTTCCGGTGAAACTTTCTTCGAAAATTTGTATGCACCATTAGAAATGGTTTTTCGATTTTTTAAACTTTCTTAGGTGCCAGGCAAACGAGAACTTACGATCCAGTGTGAAATGTAGTGACCGAACGACCTATTGGTTGATCTGACTGATTTAAGCAGTGTGTTCTGTTAATCAGGCACTTTAGAGTTTGCTACCTTCTTCATTCTTTCCAAACTATTCCATAAGACTTAAGGCTCCGTTGGACTTGTCATATTCAATTCTGCCATCCTTTTGACAACTAATTAAATTTTTTCCATATTTTGCGCAGTTGAAATTAGCCTGACGTTCTCCAACTAATGTCTTTTACTCCACAAAAGCACACAAAGCTTAATCTTGTGTCACCAGTCACGGTTTGTAGCAATTTCGGATTTGATTTCTCTGCGCACTTTCACATGTAAGGCTATGAAACATGTGGGATATTTGCCAACAAGGTATGTTGTCAATGAACTGTATTTATAAGTTATCGCTATTCCACCGTTCAGTTACACATTTACTGAGAATTTAGAGGTTCACTTCAAATGTGGCACAATCGTGCGCGCGTAAAAAAATCTAGGTAGTACACCTGCAGTTGAACACGTTCATTGTGTTGAACCGGCGAAGACGTTTTCTCTATGTGGTTTGGTTTTTGCTTTGCGTATTCCTGAAAATTCACAGGTGACTCATCTCGCCGTTTTCTTCTTTCTCGTCAGAGCTGCTGTCGCTTACATCACAGAAAGAAGAGCTTTTGCACCTACTGGGCAAAATTTCGTTCATTTTCAACATAAACAACTTAGAACCATTTTTAAGATATTTTCCTGCGTGATATTTGCTTGTCTTTTGCTCAGACTTCAACGCTTTTATACTGGGACGACAGCAACTTATTACTCATAACCGTCTCTCCATGTGAATCACTTGATTATTTCATAGTATAGAGTGAAGCGCTCACAAAACTTTGTCTTTTTTGTAAAATAGGCCCATTATTGAGCAGCTGACAGACAACTGTTTCACAATTTTGCACACGTTGGCCGTGTCATTCTTGTGCGCGCATGCAATTGCGGAACTCGACATTCATATTTCTCTGTCTTTATATTGATATGAGATTCATTTTAATCAAACATTGGTTGGATTTTCGGGGGCTAACACAGATCAGGTTAAACTTATAATTTATTCTGATGAGTCCACCCAAATGGGAGCAATGGACTCGAGTTTTGCTTTTATTATGGCGAATCAGCAGGGCATATCCAGTAGCCATACCGGGGTTTGAACTCCGGACATCTGACATGCGAGGCGAGCGTGTTACCACAACCTCACCAACGTACCTTGGACGCATCTGAATTTTGATATCTGAACAGTCCAACGTGCTCACGCTGGAGCGATGTGATTGGTGTACACGACTCATTGAATGACAATCCAGTACCTGACGATCATCTGACCCCTCTGTCAGGTCTTCCCAGTCAGGTAGCGTCATAGACACTTTAAACCCGCTGGACAGTTTCTGATGCATATCCCGAAGCCACCCGCAACAAAAAATTCATGAATTAAACACGCCAGTTTTCAAAACTACAGTATATAGTCTAATTTAGCCACTACGCAGACTTGCGAACCCAACCTGAAGATCCTCATCGATTTACCGACCAACCAATATCTCGCCAATCAAAGTCCACAAACAGGTGTGCATATTTCTGCCGGTAGTGTTTCAGCTTCATCTCTGTATATACACGATACTGCAACACCCGCAAGCGGCCAATCTTACTTTTGGTTTTGTCTCACTGCCAATCCAAATCAAACAAGCTGGACTGGAAACTTCGAATACCTAGCAATGAATTTCTAAAACACCCTCATGCATGAAATTAGATGACGTCCTCAAGGGGAACATTACCACAATCGCGAACGTAACGCCCGCCGTGATAGTTCACCTGTCGCAACAGCATAGTCATACGGCATCCAGAAAGCCTGGACTTCAGCTATCAATGCTTAGTTATTCATAGCCGTGCTACAGCCCACATTCTAACCGGTGACATACAAATTTTTGCATACACAATAAGTTGTGTCTCTATGTATGCGTGGTTTGAGTTGATATATTTGGCTAACCAGAAAACTAGTGAAGTAAGAAGATCAGTGAAGACTAATCTTTCGGGACTGTTTTTTTTGATGCCATCAACAGCAGACAGTGGCTAATTAGGTGCTATCTAAGAGTATCTATGCAATCTTTGGTTACGTGAACTCAGGTGAAGCATTGCTCGTGGAAAATGTTAGCATCTTCAACAAACCAAGCTAGCATCGAGAAGTATTGTATTTTGGTCAGAAGGGTAAACTTCTTGCGGATTTGCACGTGACTAGTGTAGTCTTACTCCAAATAGAAGGCACGAAATTTTTTATAGATTTAACCCCCTAACTTTAAAACATCTAAGCTCTCTATCTGGCCGCTGGCCGTAACCCAAGACAGCATGCTTTCGGTTTGTTTTCTCCAATCGCTTCAGACTAATAATTCACAGATGATAAATGTTGCCTACAGAAATAAAAAAGTCGTAAAACTTCGGTGGTTTACCCACTGGAGAACATGCCTCAGGCACGTTGACCGGAATTTTCTATCGCCAGTCCGAGCACTTCTTTGTGCGCATTTTGTAATTTTCTGGTAAACGATTTTGTTTAACTGCCTGTCGAATACTGTCCTTATTGAAATTTAAATTTACGGTGTAAAGCACTTCCTAACTAATGAAACTGGTCCATAACTAGATGATAGATCGTCACTCAAAAATGGATAATTTGGGAGTTTGTCTCATAAATGTTCGTCAGATGGTTGGCCTTGATATACGATTTTCCAAAAAGCACATTGTTTTTCAAATCTAGAAAAAGATGCTTCCAATTACGAATACCCAAATACAGAAACACTATAAATGACCATAACGCAATGATATCAAACAGTTCCAGTAAGGCATTTGGTTTATGGATAGTAACGCTACGCAAAGAACATCTTTTACGTTGCTTGCTCTAGTATGAGAAGATTGACCTTATTAGCCGAATAAAAAACTTGGGACTTGTGGCAACATAGCTTTTAAATGGGATCACGTTTATTTGACAACAGGTGTATTTACTGTGACAATTTGGAAAGGGGCGGCGCGGAACCATTTTAACCCTTCAGGACTGGTTCATCCTTGTCCAATTCTTGAAGTATTTAATTTGATTTTCAGTTATTTTGAAGAGAAACAAATTTTTTCGACCAGTTATTTACCATCAGATAACACGATGGCTTAAAAATAACCATTCTGCATCTATGTCAGCAGAATGCATTGTTTGGAAATTTTTCGAAGAACTCATCAAGTTTTTTCCCTCAGTTTTATTGCTCAGATTTTCGTCGGTGGCGGTGGCTTTCGTCAGAGAATAAGCAATCTGTATGCAGTAGATTAGTCAAGTGGTTGGTTGCTCATGAAGCCAACGAGCCCAGTATTAATTCCCTTGAAAGAACTATGTTTAGTATTTGCCGAAGGGACCAAGTTCATTTCTGTTGTGCTGCTCTGATGTTGCGGATAGATTCATCCTTGGGAGCTGGAGCTGTTAGCATTTAAGTTTGTGCTGACAATTTGACGACTACTGACATACTTCCTCATTAGTTTGGCAGTAAACTGTCTCTTGAGGAACGGATCCAGCAAGTACAGAGAATCGTTATTGATATATGCACACCTGCTTATGTTTCGCAGAGTGGCTGTGTTGCGTCTACTGTGCCATGACAGGAAGAATGGTTCAAACGGTTGACTGAAAACGGTGTGCAATGGTGAAGTAGTTTCTACTGCGTGTGATCTCTTTAGGACTGGACCCGGTGTGACATTTGAAAGAGTATTCACCTGGCCGAACTTCATTTCCAATACATTTAGCACGCTTGACTCAAAACCGACTCAAATATTTTCGGGTCATGTTATATGCTAATAAAACCCCGCTATAAGGCTGCTGCTACGCTGTAAACGTTGAACTTTAGTTTGTCACCATGGGCCAGATGCTGTTCTTCTCTACGTTACATGAAAGAACATACTCTACACTGTGCTGTTTGTTTGGAACGAAGTTCGTCAACTCGAACACTTGTGAGTTTCTTGTTGAAAGCGTTCAAAGATTTCCAGTCTTACGCAACGTCTCACATCACTTGGGAATAGTGGCACCAAATGAATGTTATTCTTTTAGGAAGCGAGCATTTTTGTTGGAGATTGTCAAGTGTAGATGTAAATGTCAAATCTGGTCTTGTAAAACTCTCCACATGAGTGTGAGCGTACCAACTAACGCTGTCGCTATTTCAACAGGACTTGCCTACATATACTGATATTACTTAATCTAACGCCTAATATTTGCTTGCGTTTTCAGAAGACTCAGAACCGGCCAATATAATTCAAATAATTGCATCAATCGTTCATTTCTCTTTGAAGTTTTTACTTAAAAAGATGCTTCAATCGAAATAAAACTACTCTAATAGTATGATGTAAATAATGATGATGGTACAAATCCACAATTATTTTGCCTGGAGTGTATACATCCGTTGCTTATTAGAAAAATTGATTAAAAAGGCGAATGTATAAAAAATAATTTTCTTGTGGCACAACATATCAATAAGTGTACATAGGGAAACTTGGCTCTCTCAATATTCTGGCGAAATTCATCGATCACTCCAAGGGTAAAAGATGTCCGTTTCATCCCTTAAGGATGGATAAATGTTGTCTAAATACCAAGTAAAAGATTTGCAATTTAAATCTTGTGCGATTTTCCTCCTTTCTGATAAACTTCCTGCATTTATGTTAATTGCAGTTGGACTGTTTTTATAAAAGTTTTGTAAATAAAGCTGTCCCCGATCTTGGCTTTCTCCGTGAATAAACCACACCAGAGCCGTTCGCTTGCGATTGCGTAATACTGTATGCTCTTTGCCTTGTGGAAAATTGTAGGGATGCACGGACCGATAATAATGGCCAACACGACTACACGGAATAATCTCCATTCGACCCGAGCACAACCATGTTCTCAGAGATAGTTCCACATTTTCAGCGCCCCATATATTCATTTCCTCATCGTAGCCACCGAGGTCAAAGAATCCTTCGCGCCATGCAGCATAAATTCCACCTGAAATGGCTGGCGATGCCCATGGTTGCATGGTTTGGTCCAATCGATTTGCTGCCTTCATATATTCCCAACGAAATGTCAGATTCCACGTGAACCCGCCCAAAACAGGGCTGTCATCCAACTCATTGGGATTAGAGATATCGTAGATTATTGGACTGACAATCAGTCGCTCAGCGACTACAACGGAAATATAGATATTTGGTGTTCATTAAAAGGTAGATAAATGCTGTCCGAACTACAAGCTAGTAAAATTTAATCAGCCTATTCGCCTTGTTTTTACTGCTTGTCTCCCTTTCTTTTATATTATCCGGCTCCTTTTATTTTAAGAGTGTTCCAGTAAAATGCCAACGAAAACAATCTGCCAGAACATGCATACCAGAAAATGAACCACTGGAGCTATAAAAATTCAAAAAGGTTGAAAAAATATCATATGATAAAGCAATCTCAGACACCACTGGATCTTGGATTCCAGACAACTGATTCTGTAGATCAACTCAGCCGGGATGTTTGCTAGGATATCTATTAGCCTGTGGTTAATTCTGAAAGGATCCAGCGTGCATACGTGGGCTATCGCCGAAACAAAATGCAAGTTTAATACTCACGCAACCAACCATAGGTGATCGAAATATTTGTGTTTCGTATCCGAAGAAAACGAGGCATATTTTCCTGAAAACAGATCGTTGAGGTCTACGTTACTTTATGACTCAAGCAACACAATCGAGAACTCTAGGAGTGTTCAACCCTTCACAGCAGAGCCTTCAGTCGTTTGAATTCTTGGCTGGCACTTCAGTGTTTCAGTGTTTTTGTTGGAAACAGCGTTGGTTGAGGCGTAAAAACAGTTGGTTGTATTAGACTTGAAATTTGTCATGTGTAATTCTTTTGATAGCAAACTTATTCAGTTTATGTCTTTTATTTAATCAACCCCACTGCTTTTGATCAAAATGCTAACAGTCTCGCAACCATCTGCAATCACTGAAATTGATTGTGAAGTATCTTTTTCAAAGCAAGGTTATAAACCAGTGTATTGTTTTCGGGAACGAATTTTTGGGGTGATTCTCGGCGTTATGATTTATATGAGAGAACTTGATTATTCTGACTAATCATTCACATTCGCACGTTGCTCACTCCACACTCGCGCTTCTAAATCCATATGTTTGTAATAGCGCATGAAAGTATGTGCCAAAGACCATAAAAATGTATATCAGCCAACGCTAAAATCAAATTGTCGGTATATAAATCACATAAAATATTAATAACTGCGAAAAATTTGCATTTAAATAGGGTTTTAGCCCAGTAAACAAAGAGTAATGATTTTGTAAATTGTCCTGAAAGTTGTCTCTAAAAAGATTCACAAAGAGAGGGTGTACAAGAAATACGTTAAGGCGTCCACGGGCGACTGGGGGTTTTCATACAATTCAGCTGCTGAAAATGATCCCCACATTTTGAACATAAATCTTTAATAGACTTGTGAAGCAATACCCTTGAAAAACGGAATTCCGTGGAACTATACTTAAAAGCTGGTCACATCACTAATCATGTTTTGTCTATAGTTCGAGATTCACCACTATAAGCACTGCATTTCAAAAATTGCTGTGAAGAAACAAAGGTTCAGCATATGTTCTAGCTAAGGTAAACACAACTGTTCAATATAACTTTTCGTTGCTGTATAAACAAACAAAACTTATAAACTACTAACCCTTACTCTATTGACGCCAACCTATTCAGCTGGAGTTTAGAAGAATCTTGCCGATCGCCCACAGAAGGTTTTCCGAAACAATACTTTGTGAAAACATCTGGTAGGTATATTAGAAAAGATTTCTCCAAAACTACAATCCACAAGGTGCATGTGGGAGCAAACTCGAACAAATCATGTTCCCTCCCACTGAGTTAGTTGAAATAATTGACTGACCCGACTTTTTGGCATGAAAAGGCACGCCGAACATTATAATGAGACATAGAGGAAAGTGTTGGTAGCTCAGGTAAGGTAAGTGGTCGTTGGCTTGTACACAACCAGCAACCCATCGCGACGCACCACTACCCTCCCCAGTAGCGCACTGGTGACGTCACCGCGATAGGTGATGAAGCGTTTGCAATCGAACTGCCCAGGTCAGCAAACAGGCCAACGACCATAATGGGACGTAAAATTCATCTCAGCTGCACGAAACTCTCCAGGTTTGTCCATGGAATAGATTTTTTTTCAAATTTTCCCAGTGAGTAATATCCCAGCAAGTTTTGAAACTTGGTAGTAAGGACGATTTGAACATCAAAAGTTTACTTCACACCCACACATATGCATGTTTTCTTTCTGGCCAAATAAACAAAATCCAGTGGCAACAACTAGATTGCGCAACTGCTGTGGGGGGAGGAACAGGCTTCAACATCATGGCATCTCAAGGGAATTTCAATATGCTGAAGACAAAATGCAACAGTTCGCTTGTGGTGAATTTGAGATGACAGAAAGACTTCTGCGTACAGACAAATAACATCGTTTTTCTTCGAAAAAGGAACCGGGAATTACTTCATATGTGGGATATTATAATGCATATGGGAGACCAAACTATCTACTGGGAAGCTTTCAATAAACCAATATGGTTTTAACGTGAGTATGCAATGATCTGCTCATAAAATTTTTATACTGCGGCATAATACTATTAAGCCCTCTTAGCACATCAGTATTTAGTTGTAAACTATGAATATAAACTACCTGAATATTTATGAGTATCGTCTTTTGACGTTATTGTAATCGATAAAGCGTTGTCACACGTTTGGGCCATAACCACATGATCTTCACTCAACATGTGTAACTAGCTGTCAAGTGTTCAGTTCAAAAACATACAGTCACTAAATCCTTCGTTTGAAATTTTTAGGAGCCAATGGCTTCATTCCTCTGAGATGGATGTTCATCAGCTCCGATGGTAAATTATTAGATTTCTGCTCTGAACACTTACAACCACCTCCAGGACCAAATAAAATTTTGTGCTTGTCAAAATGGATATGAAAACTGAAAGTTTTCGCAGGTTTCAATGCTAACTTCGACTGGGTCGCAGCCGTTCTTGTCAACGATATTTTCATGCGGATGCAAACTAGGTTTTGTCAATGTCTTGCAGGGTACCTCGTATTAGGTAAGTATTCCATCTGAAAGTTTTGGTAAAAACTTTCCCGGGTTACAATCTGACCATAAAACGGCACGGTACGTTATTAGATGACTTGCTGTGTTTGTTTATTATATATCATATCTTTCTGGTTGTAACCCTGTTTTACACAGCGAACTAACGCAACTAATGGTTGATCATCCTGGGCATAGACAACATGAAGGACCATTTTCTATCAGTGTTGTTCTATGAATATTTTTCAACAATGTTCCTAAAACTAACTATTTAAATGCTGAGTTTCATGGCAAGTTAGGCGCGCTTTAATCTGGAAGCATGTGGCATGCCCCTATAGCCGTTTTGTCCTCAAGTTTTCCTATTGAAATGATATTACATCGTATTTTACCCGTGCACTGCCATTTGAGTACCATTTGCCTTCTCTGAAATAAATTTTTAATAGGCAATTAAAGTTTTATGCTTAAATTTGACAAACCAAGGCAAGTGAATATTCTTTGTTACTTATGCTATGTATTGATAGATATGAACACTCCGCCGACTCATTATCTTCATATTACGTCATGAAACAATCCCTTACGTCATTTTTCATATTATTGTGTTGTTTTCTTTTTCTAATCAAATGTCACTGTGGGTTAGTGAATAGTAGATACAAGTTCACGATGCACCGGTGTACTTCTCTACCATAGCCCTCAGCCCTTACCTTAAGTGCGCCAACAATTTCAGAAAAGCAAAAGCCTCAAGCTGTTGCATGGGACTCCAACTTGCGAGTGAAAAACAAGGGTAAATGTCAAGACCAAAGGGAAATTCCAAGATGACCACACGTAAGAAAACAAAACGTTAGAAATCAGAAGGATGAATCCACCTGTTTACCAGGTCAGTGCGCTGCCACTTTTTTCATTCAACACAAACGTACCCTACAGCATAATGGCCTTATTTTATTGTTCATTGATGTAGTCATCTCCTGCTGTGCAACCAAAGTATTCCAAAAAACACATGGTGACCTCAAATTAAAACATTTTGCTCTTGCTGCTCTCACATCTGGGAAGTTCACCAGGACAGATGAGCTTACAGCATCCAATGTTTCGCAGACCAAAATGAAGGTCTGAGAAAATAAATGTATGCCTGGTGAATAAAAAACTGCTGTTCATATATTTCTGAAAACTTGTCTTCAATCATGAAGCATACCAAGAGGTGAATCTTTGAATTGCAATGTGACAAGCTTCTCATTCGCCATCAGACAGCCCCGTGAAACTCAAATATCACAAAAATTTGACAATGATGGTTTCACAGATAGCTCATGCACTTACAAGACACAACTGGATACTGTATTGTAGGATCTAGGTGTAGACACATTCTGATGGTGGTCTCAGAAATTTTGTAATAATGCAGGGTTGTGTGAATTACCAAATCGACCATGATCGTTGATGTTTATTGGTCGGTTATTTATCTATTCCCACTGAGGCTTCAATGAATACAAAATCACTGAATTCGAATATCAGCCTATGTTTTTCAAAATATGTAATATATTTCTGAAGGAAGAATTCACAAGAGGTGTCGCTCAAGACCCACAGCTTGTAACTATTAGGTCCTCCGTGGTGTTTAATTACCAGACAGGTAATCAGACCGATTAATTGTATTTTGTTAGTGTGAAGCAACTTGCGAGTTTTAATGGAGATTTCGCCAGGCAACTGAGAAGCTTTGAAAAGTGCTTCCACGCTGTGAAACGCTAGGTGGTTTCAAACGCTTGACCACCCTTGATATATACTGTTATACTCTCTTGACACTACGAACGACGCAAACAAGCAAACACGATTTAAACCTTTGAAAATCATGCATTGACTTCGCCAGACACTTTCTCCATGGGGAATACAACTACTGAGATATGTTAAACTCCCCAAAAACTAATGCGATTCCCCTTAAGTTGCAGGTCCGCTTAGGAACTGCATGTTCTGAATGATTACTCTACTCTTTGATGAAGGATGCCACGCTTGTGGGATTGTAACATGGAAAAAAATTTATAAACTTTCAAATCCACTTTCAACTTCTTTGTGGCTCACTAGTTTTCAAAGTCATATGTGTTTAAATGTGAAAGCACAATACATGAAACGCAGCCCATTTCATCATTTCGATGAGGTCTGAATAAGGTCTGGAATCTGTTTGCTCTTGCAACTTTTCCGCAAAAACCAAATTGTGGCCTTCAAGGTACTCGGAAAAAACGCAGTAACCAAAACTTCTATGATAACTCATATAGTGCTATTTTGTTAGTTCAAGATAGATCAGTATAGTAGAGGAGCACCAAAGATTTCTCAGAATCTCGTTGTCAGGTCTGCAGAGAGTCTAATAACCATAAATGTTAGCACATATATCATTAAAATATATGAAGTTAGTTTATTAATTGCCACTACGCCCGGAAACTCAACAGCGTTCCGGCCAGTCATCTCTTTTCTTTCAAAAGCAGACGGTTTGAAAACGCACAACATCGAAAGACGGAGGCACACAATATCTATCCAATTTTCTTCGAGTGCCTGTCTGTTACAGTAGTTTATTCAACCCAAGGGATTGGTAATTGGGTTTCCACACCTGGTGAACTTATTACAGGATAGGCAGCTGATACCATTAGCAAACAAACTTTTGAAAATGTCTCTTAAAAAACATTTTGCCACACCGTGTGAACAATCTGTTGTGGCTAAATCACGTGCGCAAATATTCTATCGTTACTCGAAAAAAAGTGTTACATTTATACAAAGCTGTTTTGTAACAAATCTCAGGGAGGTGTAATGGCGGTTGCTTTTATTCCACGAGTTATTTCACCTGGTTGACTCGTTTGAGATTTGTGCAATATTTATGTTCAACCATTTGTGGCTGATATTCAAACAGCATATCAAACTAAATTCCAAAGTGGTTGACGGTGTAAAAGGTTTGATGTTCACGTGTTGTAAAGCTGAAACTTTAGAAAAACCTTGGTTTATTCACGAGAAATTTTATCTTTGGGAAACTGAATTAGTACCTGAGTGTTTGACATTTAGATAAACTGAAGTATACTTCTAGATGAATGACCCGTTTAAAATGGTTAAAGACATCAGAGCACAACATTTAAAAAATAAATATATTAAAGTGTTATGAGTTAAGATATAGACAGCGTTTTCTTGTGGTAACCGGAAAGCTCCTAAAATAGAATTTATTAGGTGGCGGAGATTCGTTTAAAATCCTCTCATCCCCGTCAGTCTCTTCATTCCGTCAGTTTTAGGCGGAGTATAAAGCTACTGGGAAGATATGGTAAATAATTCCCTTCAAGCTGTTCAATGCGTAAGCTACATTACGATTTGCTTGCGGTTAACAAATTTGACATCTTTAGATCCAGGATAAAGAAGGTGGCATACCAAAATTTCTAAAGCTTTTTTCCCGGAAATTTGACGTCTTATTTGCTTCCACGTAGTCATTTGAAGGATAGCCACTTTTGGTATGCATTTAGTAACGTTTCACGTTGGTCGCAAAACTTCTGTTAAGTTAATTCCACCTGGTGACTGATTGTGTGGGAATGATGTGTGTGGGTGTAATATTGCAAACAATTTTGACCAAGACTTTTTCAGTGGGAAAACAAAATGATGGAAACAAAACTCTAGAAATTATACAAACAAGACGTCTCCCAGAATTGGCTAAAATCTTTAATCCATTTTGCTACAAAGTGACGCATAGATGTCTCTTTTTCCAGAGATGCCTCAAGAATATTTTGAAGTAGCACATCAAATCACATTAGGCAAATTAAAAAACACCTTGAGAAGCAAACTGTTGCAAAAATATAAATTTAAGTCACTAAAGTTAGACGAAAATATATGTTGGTTTGAGCTCCAACTCCGAGGTTAATGGGAGAGGACCAAGTCTTCATTTACTACTCAAAAAAACTGTACATTACTTGGGAACATCCGTCGAAGTCCACCAATATTGCAACTTTCGAGAGTGGCAAGTTTCCAAGAACACAAAATTAGAGCGCAAAAAAGCCATAAGCCAAACTGTTTGCTGTGTTGTAAGATTTTGCTGACATTTATGTACATCCACAAAATCTATCGTTCATCATGCACCATACTGTAATCCTGGTGTAGCCTGTCTTCAGCGCTCTCTAAGTTGTTTCGTTGTCCTAGCCTAACCTTATTCAGATCGGACGATAACATCCCATACTACTACTTTTGAACCGACCAGACAGCGAGTACTATTTTTATAAGCACATTCAGATCTTCGCAGCCTAACAGTCCACTTTGGATGATCCCTAGTTGAACCGGTACAAAGAATATTACATCGGAACTCAGACAGTATTTTACAGGTAAACAATTCACATCCATAAGGAAAGTTATCACAAACATAGCAATTTGTCATGGAACTTAACCGTGTCCATACGGTTTCTGTCATGCATGACAAACCATACAAGAGAAACCTCAATATTCCTCAAACATTTATTCAGTTATTCATTTTTTTGGCAAACTGCTTGGCTCGCACAAAATAATGGAACCATTTCTATAGTCCTGTTGAAAAAATCCAACTCTGATACAGTTAATGAATCCTTAATAATAGAACAACCGTGTGTCATCATTTTAGGTGGCAACGAATATCGGCGAAACGTGAATTTCATATGAAAAATGTTTATCTCCGACCGCGACTTGTTCCTTTGCGCGTGATGGTCACCAAGCGAACCTTTTCGACATAAGCCCAATGACAACTACTTTGCAGATACGTCACTTAATTCGTATTGAAACGGAAGACTTTTAGGCTTTCTGAAAGTTATACAGAACTAACCAACAAACTCACCAGACTGAAGACAGTTAATTTGTGGTTCCATCGGCTGGCTTTCCCTGCAGTCATTCCCAGTGTGATTCTTGGCATTTAACAATCGTGCCAATAGTGGCTCCAACCAGTGAGATGTCGTCTCCACATGGCTGTCCAGAAAAACGAGAATTTCAGCCGAAGCCGCTCTGGCGCCGACCATTCTTGACCGTATAAGGCCAAGTCGGGTTGGGTTCCTCATTAAACGAATCTGTAATACAAGAGAGAGCTAGCAACTAGTTGCCAATAGATAGAAAAAGCAAAAAACAGCTTATGAGAAAATCCCACTTTTGGCTACATGGAGATTTTAGCTCTAATGCTCCGAAATGTTAGTCATCCATCCAGCTAGCACTCCACAAAACCATTTGATTTAGCGTGGATGAACTGATGAAATTGTTTTCATTTATACCACATGTGTGGTTTAACCCGATTTCTCAAAACACGGCCTAATGGGCGCCACAATATTCTCGGCCAACGTATACCCACAAAGTCCTCAACCTCTGATAACACCATGGATGCTCCAAACTAATATATACTACCTGGTAACTCGTAGTCACGTGCGGGATTTGAGAAATTTGCCTGTAGGTAATTTTTATTCGAAAAGCCTGCCTCCTGCCTCGAAGGGCTCAAGGGGCCTGGCTGATAGCCCGGATCGGAGATTTAGTCCGATTATTGCTCCTCGGCAGCTCTGTGCCCCGAGCTGTGGCTGGATTTGTACCCTGTCATATAAGGAGAATGTGTTATCACGTTTCCATTATTCCAACCCATGGTTTTGTCTTTTTATATGCAATGGTCAGCAGAAAAAAGACTACTCATACAAGAAATGTTGTAGGTGCAGTTACTTACTGGTGAAAGAAAGATGTATAAAAGCAAATATTTGGCTTAAAGTGCTAACAAATAAACGTCCAAAGTTGCTTCAATGTTTTCTACGTTCACGGTCTAAATCGAGGGGCTGAATAGAAAGGTTTCGGAAAATAAAGCGAACATTCCTACGGCGTTCTCGCCTGTCTGTCTCTCGTAAAGCACTCATTACGTTCAAGACAAAGAAACCACTACCTGTTTGCACTGAATTGTGTGTGCACATGCAGTCTTAACAGTTTCAGTCCAATCCTTTCCGTCTGTGAGAGAGTATACTAAGTTGCTGGGACACTAAAAATGGCTAGAACTAGTAGGTTTACTGGCCTGTTCAACATCCCTTGTGAAGTAAGCTCAGGGTAAAACACAATGAAACTTGTTTGTCAGAATAAATACAGTTTATTGACAAATGCATCACGTTTTATTCCTGTGGGGACCACCTATCATACGTGGGGCGTTTTTAGGTTGTGCGAAAATCCCATAGAGTAAAAATTTATTCAGATGCTCATCACACGGAAATCTGGGTTGATGCTGTGTAAAACCAAACTGAACGATGCAGACAACTACGCCAATCTCATTGGCCTATTTTTTGGTCGCAGCATAGATTTTAGTCCCAATTGCAATACCACCTAGGTCTCCGCTTAAACTGTGTATGCGAAACTGGTTGAAAATTCATCCTGATCCCATGTCTACACGCTTCAGGCTTAAGTTCAGAAAGCCACCTTTTTCGGTCCTGCTGCAATGTTAGGAGTGTACTTGCAAGGTCGTCTGATAAATCCAGTTTCCTGAGGTTCTGCGCGTCACTTTGTTCCATTTTTCACGTTGGTTAACGGTTCTGACAAAGCACCAAATTTGAATGTTTCCGCAATCTAAGAGGTAACAGCTCGTGAATCAAGATTCAGTTATTGAATCTTTTTCACAGGAACCAATTGAAAGAAAAGCGTGTCTATTTTAATGCCATTTGTGTAATGCGTGCAAAAAGAGTTTACCCAAAGAAAGAAGTTAATCAAGCCATAAGCACTTCCAGACAAGGTACCCTCAAGAACCCGCTGTGAATGTCAAACATATGTGAAAATGAATGTGTTTGAATGTGGGCTGGAACCTCTGGCTAGACGCCATTCCTCACGAGAACTCAGTCAGCCACTGGAGAAGATCGGAATTATTCTCACTGCAATCATTATGAAAACACCGAAAAACTACGATGACAGAGTGCAATAACGAACAATGTTTGTACTGCCTGCCTGAAAAATCACACAGAAATGCAGGACAATGAACTACTGTTACGTGAGGACAAAGACAGCTTGTTATTTAAACTTAAAACAACCTTGTATTGTCTGTCAGCCAGCATGCGCACTATAACTCAGCATGCATGCAAAAAACTCACTCTAAGTGCTGCCTATCGCAGCAGATGCTATTGTTCATGAAGCATATTGTAAAGAAGAGAGGTGGGGGATTTCCAGAGAGAGCGGACAACAAAACTGTACTTAACACCGTCCGTTTAACGCGATGACATTTGGTAAAATGCAACACGCAAATTAAACCAAGCATATACCTTATCGTATTCTGTTCTGAAGATTTTCCTAAATATTCTTGTCGCCTGATTTCTGTTACACCAAAAGTATTTCATATATAATTATATATATCGATTAATAAACACAATAACTACCTATGGTTTATCGTGTTACTTATACCCCAAAGGAGGGTCCATCTGATCAATGTATAGACAATTAGATTTCAAGAACATAAAACCATTCGTTGTTTCACCAGAGGTATTGGTCCCGCGTACACCTTATGCCAGATCCTGCTGTTAGTATTTAGACGGGGAGGCATCACAACGAGAAAGTTCTTCACCAGAGTTATGTGAACAATTCTCTGTGCTCGTGCTCACAACAATAGTGTTGTATGTAACTGTTTTTAAATTAGTGTAATGATGGTGATTTTTAATGAGGTCCCTCTGAAAACTTAGTCTGGGACCAAACGTATCCCGCTGCAGTCGTATGCAATTTTGCTTGCAGTTTTCAATTTCTGGTAAATAGTATGCCTGGTCTCAATGAGGCCACCATAGGTAGGTAGGTAGCTTTTCTCGTATTTGCAGACGGGGCACTCATCTGGCTACTAACAGTTTAGAAACAACTGTTTACGGAGTATGGAAAGAGATGACTAAACCTAATTCTACATCATGATCTAGGAAACCTAAAACCTATATGAAGGACAGATAAAATCAGAAAAAGCGCTCATGCAAAATATTAAAAAACACAAGTCAAATAAGGTGACAGTTGTCGTACAACTCATGTGAAAATTCTGCTAGATTTTATGGTCGTGACTTTGAAGAGCCTAACAGTTCAGGCTCCGAAAATTTCGGTATTATTACGCTTGAGAACGAAAGGCTATCGGCCAGATCGCTCTGCTATTAACATCCCCTGCTTTAATACAACGGCAAATGAATTCATAATAAGCAGTCATATCATATGGACACAGTGTAGCTTTCCGTCATTTGGTAGTAAATGTTGAGTCTTGTAACGCAAATCCGTAGCAAGGTAAATCATCTGCCTCGTCTTTGACATTGCTTTTCTGTCCACCGTGTTAGAATCAAGAATCTTCGGTTACCCAAACAACTTTTCTGTCAATTACTTAAAACTCACCAAACAAAGTTTTGAAAGAGAGTGAACAATTCTTCTATTGTCTTGTTTTATCGGATGAACACATTATGTGGACCGGATCAAGTCATCATAAGCCTGGCTGCAGACCCATGTCGATTGGTGAATTCAGGGTTGGTAAAACTGAACAACCAGCAGCATGCAAAACAACTCTTCTCATATTTGCTTGTTCTATCATGCGCACGTCTGAAGAACAGATTCGTTCTTGGAACAAAGTCACCTTTTTCTGAGTAGTGTGCAAGTTCACCCAAAAACACAAGAAAATGTTCTACATGTATTCCCGGTTTTCAAAGATATATCATGCGATTTATCTTTATTCAGCTGGGCTTCATGGAATAAGATAATTACCCCACTCCACCGTTCACAGTTGATGCGCGTGGTGGCCTCAGTATAACTGTTTCTGTTTGGTCCTTTTTGGTTTTTCTGTTCCAGTTTTTTAGTTTCGAAACATTTCTCCATTAAGACATCTTGCTCTTTGTGGCGAAGGTTAGAACGTTTCAAATTGGCGCTCACACTCTGGCTTCAAATTGCTTGGAGCAAATGAGAAAACAACTAGTTCATCCAACATTTCTATTAGATCTTGTCAGAGTTCCACCAGTTACACCTAACTGAGAAAAATGAGCAACACAGTTGAGTTCCATGTTTTTTCCTTAAGTTTGGAAGAGAAAGAACACTTTCATGCGAGCTGGCGGCAACATGGAAACAATGAGTTTTGACTGTGCACCTACACCTTCTGTCTCTCAAATACACCAGGCATGCAAACAGCGGGTCACCAAAAAAGACGTCAGTACATGGGACATTAAACAGCTACTGCAATTTAGCCGCCTAACTATGCAGCAAAATAAAGTAGTAGCGCACCTAGATCTTTTTCTTTCAAAGGCTATATATCACTTGAACCAGCGACCTGCATTCGTCTTCACGGGTTTTTGGACGGTCTTCTTCACCTCAACGAATTGTTGTTCCGAAGAGCTTTCTCAAAGCAACCAACCGGTTAGAATTCCTGCAAAGTCGCATATTTCAAATGGAACACATACTGCATGTCACACTCCCAGAAGCAACTGCACGTGCTGGAAAGGAGATTGATCAGCTGACCGTCATAATGGATATGCAAGGCCTTGGATTAAAACACCTATCGCCATCATGGCTCTCTCTTGTCGGCGAAGCAGTGACTGTCATTGAATCAAATTACCCGGAAGTCTTGGGAGCCTGTTTCGTCATCAATGCCCCACCCCTTTTCAGCAGGCTGTACAGCCTCGTCAAACCACTTCTCAGTAAAGCTACACAAGAAAAAGTGCAGGTTTTGGACTCGAACTATCCAGAAACGCTTCTTCAACACTGTGACGCAGAATCTCTGCCAGCGGTCTACGGTGGCAGTTTGATTGACCCTGATGGAGACCCAAGCTGTCCTTCCCGAATCTGTTGGGCCGGCCCCGTTCCAGATTCCCAAATAAACCAATCCAAACAGCCTCACGCACCGCCCCCTGTGATTCGTGTAGCATTATCACGGTCAGCAAGTGCTCAATCGTTGGGTTCGTCTGAACAATTTTCCGTTGTTGAGGTAGCTCGCGGTGGACAACGTGATATTCCAGTTGGATTTCTGCCGGTCGGTGTCGAGTTGAGCTGGTGTGTAGTCGTCTTTGCGAAGTCATTTTTAAGTTGTTTGTGATGGATTTACGTGCTTCTGTAATTAAAATTCATTTGATTCTAATTGTAATAATTATCTCTTGATTTTATGTATCGGATTGAAATTGGAAAATTTCGGCGTTTGTTTACCTCAAATAATTTTTCCCTCATTTAAAAACAAGGGATTTTGCCTCTTGTGATTCAGCATGTAGCTAAATTTCTCCTTTTTTGAACAGAGAAGGAACTTGAAAGGCAAAGATTTAGTTTATTTACATGCTTTCCAACTAAATTTCGTTAGCTTTACCCCAGTGGATATGTTGGCACCCATAAAACAGATGCCAGTTCCACTGTGAGTAACTCCAAACGCAGCTGTGTAGTGTGCACAATCATCTGTACACCTAAAGTGTAGTATGCAGGAAATGAATGAACGATAAGTGAAATTGTGGGAGCAGGTGCGAAAAATCTGGAACAAATGCGAACGTTTGCCCAGGGCAAAATTTTTGGAACACGCATGTCGGCATTGGTGTACATGAATCAGCTTATTCTTCTGCAAATGCGACTACGACCATTCGAAGCTTCCTTGAGCAAAACCCGTGAATTCGCAGCTAGACAGAATGTCGGCCTCTTGTAACTTAGAGCCAAATATCAATCATCCAAGGCTTTTATTGTGGTAGTATGGAATTTGATATTGCCAGCCCATGTTACCCAGAACAAGAGGTCTCCACTCGCCAATGTGCCAAAGGTCTGTCAAAGTTCAGTCATAGCAATTACCATGGGTATAGACTGAACTAATGTTAATGAAGTTAAATTGATAATGGTCTTGTTAAGAAATAGGTTGCAGAAGACCACAATATGCAAAAGCAGTTGAGATTTCTTGATGTTTTAGTCGATTTGAGGTCATACATGTAATTTTTATGCACACTATGCCCAAAGACCTAGTTTTTGGTGAATAGGACCATACGTATTTGACTTTGGAGTAGGAAATTTCTTGCCTCTTAGCTAATTCTTTCGTTTGAGTGAATCTGTTGAGCAAAAGACGTTCTTCGGTAGCCTGGAAAATGGAAACTACCTTTCCTCTAAGATCCCCGGAATTCTTCAACTTTCTGACCAGACAGCTCGCAAAGTTCCCGCATCCAATGGTCATACGCTTAACCCACCGGAGTTCTCCTATGTTGCTATGTTTTACTAATAATTTTAGGCTACACCACGAAGCATTTACTGATAAACCGACGCATTAATACTGTAACAGTACTGTAACTGTATCGGGCCTTAAAACAGACTAAACTTATTTCGTTTCTAAAGCTAATTCGTCAGACTTAACGACTGATTGGCTTGTGTGAGTGTTATTTTCTTTTGTAATTTATATCCTGCACTCTATCGGGCACCCAAAGATCGAAATATTTCCAGACCTTTGTAATTGGTCGACGAAGTAGTTGTCATATTTCACTGGCTGAAATCCACAGGACCCAGTCCAATTTTCTCTCAGTTTTGTCTGGCTCTGCTAGTTTTAGTTATGTGTTATATAAATGTCCAGCAGAATCTGATGTACTGTTGCAAAGAATGGAAGCTTCTGTACTCGATGCACCAGACAGCGAGATTCAGGTGAATGTTTCAGACCCGTACATATTTTCATTAGTTGTACAAATTGTTTGCCACTAGTTAGACTGTTTTCGTCGATTGTCTGTCAGCAAGAACAGTTTTAAACAGTTGGCTAAACCTAATATTTTACTGTTTCGCAAGTTTCTACGTTAGCTGTAAATTATTTAAATTTTTATCAACACCCAAGCAGTGAGATGTGGTTGGCCTTGATTTGGCTGCTCACAACAGCTCACCACATGCGTGAACAGGAGAAGGAAGACCTTTTGCTTGATTCAACCAATAGAATTGATGGAATAATATTAGTCATGTTATCCTCATTGGTCTTTGTTCTGTCTCCCGAGCTTATGATGAGCTGTAAACTTCAAGGTGTCACCATCAATGTAACAATGTAACATCCTGGAAGCCGCCAAGATTAACATTCCGCAAACGTATTCACTGTTCCAGATTGGATGGATTAAGTGAATCGTTTGCTTCAAATTCATATATTCTTCAATTTTGTTAGCATTCAAGTGTAAGAAGTTTTTTGGTCAGGTGTTCACAGCCTGTGGCTGTCAGCCGCAATGAATCTCATCAAAGGTCACCTATCAAGAGACCAATCCTGTTAAGGTCTAAACAACCAGTTGTGTGTACGCAGTCCGTGTGTCTAAAATAGTCGTGGGCATTTGATCTCTCATTTCTGATTGTTTCACTTACTGTCGAATGTTGTATTACGTTTTTTTCTTTTCTACGCCCATGACGAATGTACCTAAGGTAAACTCATCACTTGTATTTTGGTATCTTTTGTTTACTCAGGAAACTCGGTGGCTCAAATATTGTTTTGTTTCGCGAATCCTTCCCTGGTCCATTTAGTTTCGTCGCGAATTATTTATATTTGTTTTTTTAGTTCAAAGGCTTATAGGAGTATTTCTTCCTCTATCATTATTGGCGAATTATTATATTTGTTTTTTTAGTTCAAAGGCTTATAGGAGTATTTCTTCCTCTATCATTATTGTACAGACCGTAAGTAAAACGGAAATTGCATCCGAATGCTTTTGAAATCCTTCAATTTCCCATTCAAGCCTATCTCTACGTAGTGTCTCCGACAACCTTAGTACACCTACAGATGTCTCATCTATGAAAGGGTTTTCCTTCTGGGGAAACCTTTAAATATGGGCCAAAACTTTGCGGTTGGAGCAATTTTAATGAAGCTGATGAGTACATTGGATATTTTACCAGTAAATTAGTAATTGGTAAACTACTGTAAGTAAATTACTTGTATTTCACCGGGTTCTCCATATAAGAAACACCTTTCCAAGGCAGCCCAAGTGTGGATTAGTTTGCAGCAAAAAGTCTATTGCTGTTTTCAGGTTGGAATCACTCAGTGATCTTCTATGACCTTTATCAGTTCATTACTATTGGCCGCGCCATCTGAGCACATGATAGCAGAAAGCAAAAATGTATTCGGACCACCCGTGAGTGCGGATGATCTAAAGCGAAATTGGGTCATCACGAATCACAACAGATTCCTTACCTACCACATTAATTCAGAAGAGTGGTTTCATCGCCGACATTCTTCAGATCACACACGGCCATTTCAAAGCGGTAACACAATGGATTGTAACTGGTAGAAGGCTGTGTAAAATAGTGGATAATGTAGGACATTTCCTCTACAATATGAATTTGACTCTTCTTTTTCACAGTATCCCACCAACAGTGTCCTTACATTAATTCTGGCATCTGGACCCCAATTTGTTTATCAAACGATTCACCGTGTTGTTTGATCATTGATTCCTCCAAGATGTCTAGTAGAAAAGGAGAAACTTCTCAAAATGCAGTCTCTTAGGGGTATTTGAGGGAGTTGGAGATCACACCATTCCATTTGTCTCAGGTAACAGCGGCAGAAAATGATAACATGAAAAAATGAAATATATTGGACAAGATGTCGCCTGTATTGACATTTCGCCTGCCTCAGCCTATTTAGCTTTGGTGGGCCTAGATAAACGAAGGACAAACAATATAGGCACCAGGAAACGCTTAATAGGCTATTCAGACCAGGGATGGGATTGAGCACGTTACACCAGTCCACAGCAGCCGGTCTGACATTTTGCAAACTGAACGGCTAGAGTTCCCTATAGGCCTTTGAGGCCCTGTAGCCCCTTCCGAATCTTGTCTTCAAACTTCTGCGAATCACTCTGAAAATATGGCCATTCCTTCGTACACATTCAAGGACAAAAGCAAAGTGATATGCGTCGCAAGGCTCCCCGTGTCTACTGCGCCAAGCCTTGTGACATTTCCTCAAAGTTCGTTTGAGTGTCCCGATCTGCCCCAAACGATACGGTAGTTAGCCAGAGAGTTGATTACACAATGATGGTTCATTCACTGAGTTGTCCACTGATTTCATCAATTTTAGTGCACACGAAAGATGGAGGTTGGTAACAACTCCACTTGAAACGATTCGCGCTATTCAGGTCTTGAGGCACTGAAGGCAATCTAAACGCAGATGTACTAGTGGCTTCTTTTAATCACAAAAACAAGAAGTTCATACACTAGAATTTATAGGATTTTCGTATTATACAGAGATTTCGCAGTGATGAAGTCTTAGTAGAATAGAAACTTTTTTATTTTTTCATCCACCTTCTTACGAACGACCATCTACTGCCTTTAGGATAGACTAAAAGAAACTGGATAAGTGTATGGAAATAGCCAGAAACCTTTCAAGTTAACATATAAGTAGTTGATGTTAAGGTATTAAAGAACCATTGTATTGGTGAAATAACTGCATAATGTCCCCTTTTGACTAAATAATTGTGAGTGCGCAAATTTCGACTTAGAGTAGAGCGAACGAGAAGGTTTCCTCTTGTATCTTTACTCCCTTAGCTGCATACAAGTTCTGAGGTGTTTCTTTAGGTGCACTTAAATGCCCATACACCGATGTTTCCAACTACGCCTCCTCCCATGAAGAGTATCCTCAGACAGATCAGATCTTTACATTCCATCCTATCCTGTTTACTAGGAAGAACGCCTTCAGACAGACAGCACCGGGTCATATGATTAGCTTCCTCCCAATAAAACAGTGCGCGGTAATGTGGTGAAATATTGGTAGCTCGGGTGAGTTTATTAGTTGTTGATCAGATGGCTGTTGATCTGTTCGCCGAGCTTGGCAATTGGCTTGCAAACGTTTCGTCACCATACGAGGAGACATCATCAGTGCGCAGTTGGATGGGTACTTCTTCCTTGCCTGCGTGTGTTTATGTAGCAGTCAAAGGCTATCTGTCATCTTCTGACGTGATTGGCTACCTGAAGTGTAACGAGTCTAGTGAATCTATTGGTCCGTTTGTGATCCTTGTCGCGTTGTGGTCTGTGTTCCTTGTGTTGATTGGTCATCCCAACGGCTTCTAATTTTGGTAGCTTTTTCTCTCTGGCCTTGATTCGCATTGCGTTGTGGTCTACCGTTATCGAGTTTGA